AGAACCCATCTATTCTTTTGGCTTGTTTTTCATGGCTGAGAATTATCGAAAATGCCCAAACCTTCTTTCTCACTCTGTATGGTCATCAGAGACTCAGAAAGCACAGAGGCAGGGGGCTGGGCACCATCAGGTGGGAGCAGGGGGTCTCCTGCCTGTGTCTTACACCCCAGCTACCTCCCCATGGCCCAGGGTGCTGTGCTGAGAGCTGCACCAGGTCCTGCCCCATCAGATTTTGCTCTGAACTTTTCACTGAGGCCGGTAATCCTACTGGTGTTATTAGCATTACAATAGATCTTGGATCTACAGTTTTAGTTCCAAACCATGGGGTTTTGCAGGAAAGCTCACTGAAATGAACTTATAAAAATAACACAGCTTGGCGTGGACAGCGTGTGTAGCACCAAGGGCAATGCAACCCTAATAGAAGCTGCTCGGCCCTGTCACAGCTCACACGTGGCAGCATGTTAACATGTATAGCACTCACATAACAACATCTTTTCCATCACCAGCCCATTGGCCACAGCAGAACTTCTGCACTTCCCAGGAGCCACCAGCCACCAACCCCTGGGCATGGCTGCAGATCTGGAATCATTCAGTGGCGTTGTTAATGGTGTTAACACCATTATGAACAGCAAGCATCTGTAGGGCCACCAGGCTCAGTATTTCCTCCATAGCAGCATCTGTCCTGTAGCACAACAGCTTTCTTGTTCCTAAACCCTGCAAGAACTTCACTCGTCTCAAGTGATTCCTTTCCCAGCTTCATAGGCTGCTTTTGCACAGTGTGTTTATGAAGGAGCAGAAAGAAAAACACGTTTTAAATACATTGCTGTTTCACTTACAGGTCTGTGTGTGCTGGGCCATTCCTGTCTTTACTCTTGCAGTAGAGTTACCAAGAGAAACCTTTACAAAATCACCTGGGGGCATCCCAGTTTCCAGTAAAGCATTTGCAGCTCCTAAGGCCTTTCTAATCCACTCTGAAACAATGCCTTAGGCTCCCAAAGCACTCAGTTAAACTGGAGTCAATGCTTTGGCCAGAGCCAGAACTAATTCAGAATAATTCAGTTCCTGAGCACACTAGGTCACTGCACAAAAGGATTTGAAGGGTGAAACCTGTATCAATCTGGGCAACACCTGTACGTGAGTTTCTTGAAAACCTACTTTCAATGATCCCCAGGGCTTTTAATACAATTTTGCTTAACATTTTTTAAAGATCAGCCTCTAGAAGATAATTGATTTTTGGCAGTCTCTGGGTGGCTGTGGAAAACAAGGTTTACATTGTGCAGCATCTCACCTCTCCTTCCATTAAAATGTGGGTTTTAAATAATACACTGAAAGTTGCTGATGTTTAAAGGGGAAAAACATATCATGAAGGAATTAAAAAAAGATAGAAAATCAAAGAAGAAAAGACCACATCAGATAGTGGATTAGCCTGAAAGGTGACCTGAAGCCAGCTAAACCATCCAGATGATCAGCAAAGATGACCAGACGATCAGCATGAGCCACATCTGGATCATGCCAAGTGCCCTGGACTTGACTGCTCCCATCCTGCTACACTGACACACAAAGCTAATGTTTATATCTCCAACATTATGCTTAATAACTGTGCAAATTCATTCACATGATACATTTTTATGATTTAAGACCTCTAGAATTTTATGACTGTTTTTAATTTATCATACTAATTCAAGCTGTAATACCCTGCCAGAGATGTAGAATGAGGTTGACATACATCCCTTGCTCTGAATAGAAGAATATATTAAACTCCAGCAGCTAAAAAGAGTAAATTTAGGTTTTATCTCAGTCAGATCCGTTTTGGTCCCTTCCTGCTCCAGATACACTGCTATTTCTCTTTTGTTTAAAGGTGGCTAGCAAAGAAGCAGCAAAACTGAGAGCTATGCTTTTGGTATTTGCGCTCTTTCCAGTGTACAGGGTGAAGGAAGCAGGAGAGGTTATTACCTACAATAATTTCTGCTTGTTCCTCACAAATTCAGGTCTTGTTTGTACTAGGAAGATCTCAGATGGTTGGAGACTGACAGGCAGGGCAAGATGGAGCAAATTGTCTTGTGGGATTTTCATGAAGCTCTGATCTTTGAGGCCACTTGGGGACTGGTCTCTCATAGTGTTATCAAGTAGCCTGGGGAGAGGAAAGAGCTCTGGGACTGCAGAGAACTCGTTGCACAGTTAATTTGTGCAGGATTCTGGTGACTGTGAAACTTGCTGAAGGCTTATGAGGTTCAAATTCACCCTTTCCACCTGCAACAATCTCAATGGCCATCTCAGCCCTCCAGCACATCTGCCCAGACAGGGAGAAACAAGCTTGATACAACTCATCATTCGTTGTGAAGAAAAGAAAGGGAGGGAAAAAAAAAAAAACAACCCAGAAAAAAGAGGCCTTTCATCACCACAAAGCTGCAAAGAGGAGCCCAAACTCAATTTTCTCAATTTAGAAGAGAAAAATCTTATGCAGGTCATCTTTAATTTGAGGGATGCCAGGTGAGCAATTCTCTGCCTGCCAATCCCTCTAATTCCTTTTCTCATCATGGGTCAAGAGTGGTTCTGAAATGCAGAACACAGACCTTAATTATGAAGGACAAAGCACCAAGTTACACTAACTGCTGATCTTGAAAATAACCCACCCCCCCCAGCTTTAATGTTAGTGTTCATAGGATCAGAATGAAAAAGCCAAACCTGGCCACCCAGCCCTCCCCTGCCGCAGAGTGCCGCTCCCCTCAGGGTTCAGATATCCACCAAGAGATAAATCCAGGCTTGGGCAGCAGAGGTGGCTCAGGGTGGAAGTTGTAGGTGACATTTAAACTCCATCCTCCAGACAGGTTCAGGTCCTTATCGCTGCCCATCATGCTCAGTGCAGTCCCACCCCAGTGAGGCTTTGCAGGGTCTCCAGGCTGCACACTTGGTAGCACTGGAGATGCAAATGGCTGGGCCCAGGAAGTATCAATCCATGCCAGGACGCATTCCCTAACAGTCAGCAAACTTTTCAGCCCTTCATTTCATTCTAAAATTCCTGCTGATGGCACTATAAATAACTGCTCCCCACCCTCCGGATGCTTGAGAGGCTTGAGTCACTTTGCTGAAGGGAGATGTACATTTTGTTCATCTTTCCTCACTCCACTTGTATCTGTTGGTGGTTTTCAAATCCAACTCTGGCGTTTCCAGCTCCTCAAGGTGAACGAAACAGGCTTCAGAGGCTTCACCCAGGAAGAGTCTGTCTGCAGCCCCGCTCAGACCACAGGAACAGGTTTTTTTACTTTCAGGCACTTTCAGGTTTCCTTGCCAAGTCACTTGCTCTCCTGCTGCATTTGGGAACAAGGGAGCTATTATCCCAATTCTGTGTCGCAAGCTCCTTCCTCATGTCAGCAAAAGTCACAAATGGTTAAATTGCTACCAAAGAGATGGGGGCCAATGACAGAAGCAACCTCAAACAGGAAAACTGATCACTGCAAAACCCCAGGGTACAAGATGTTTCTTTTCCCCCGCAGCCCTGCACCCCTACAAGTTAACGGCTGTGCCGCAGGTTCCACCCTGTCCTGCCATCTCCGCTGTGCCTCCTCCTCTCTAAGTCTCATTCCTTTGACTGCTCAAGTCAAAACATCCTGCTGCCCATCAACCACCTCATCCCGTCAGGTGCTTCTGCTCAGCAGCTCATACACTGATACACGGCTCCACTTGCCTTGCTCACTTGCAAGTTCCCTGTCCCATTGCTCTCTCATTTACGTCAAATACCAGCAGTGAGAAAAAAGTCCCTTTCCCTGACCCTGCACCCCCGACAGTTCCCAAAACCCTATGTGCTTTGAGCCGTGCTGAGTTTGCAATATCCCCCACACAAACCTGTGAAATGACAGCAAGGCAGAGTTTTCTGCTGGTGGATTAGCAGAAGGATTTTTTTTCTCCTGTGCTAAGATTTCAACACGCCATACATAAACAGCTCATCTCCTGATTTACTGAGAGTGGTGGCCACCATCTAGCACTTCTCAGGGAGATTAGTGGATGCTTTTTCAACCCTATTTCAAACCTGGAGGACGTCTGTTGTTTGTCAAAAGTGTTATTAAACTCAGATAGGCACCAGGATAAATGTTTTCCTGGCACAGCGTCTGCTCCCCTCCAGGAATCCATGTAGGAGAGAGGCTCCTTGGGACCCACACTCACCTGGGACCTGGCTGCAAAGAGGAAAACAGGCTCTTATTAAGGTCAGGGCACCCTCATGGTGCATCAACCTGAGACAGTGACGAAGGAACAGCAATACATAATTTAAAGAGATAGCTGTTTTGCGTGGAAATACAAATGAAAAGATCACTCGGTTAGGAGGAGGAGGGAGAGAAAAATCGATCAGTGATTGAGATAGTTAGCAGCTAAATGTCCCTGTGCACAATGTTCCTGTTGAAGGGCAATTTATAAGGCCAGCTAAAGCTTCTACGGGTTATACTGCTAAAGAGAGGAGACTCCAGAGTGAATATAACACTGTCTTTCCTAATAACCCCAGTATTCGGTCCTTGAAGCTCGTAAGAAATGCTCTGCATTGAGAGTGCAATGCGCATGAAAGGATATGGGAAAACTCTCTTAACCTGGTGCACTTACAAGGGGGAGGCAAAGGGGAGAGGAGCCGGGACCAGAGCCAGTGGGGGCAATCGTTGGTGAAAGCGTGACAGGGACCAACTTCTGCAGTGATTTATGAAACAGGCATCCCAAGTTATCTTCTGCTGAACAGCAGCATTTCGATTTAAGGAGCAAGGGGAAAAAAAAAAACAACTCTAGGTCATGCACTTAATTATTTAAAAGGGAGGGAGGAGAGCAGCGGTGGCAGGATGGGGAGCCCCTTGCCCCAAGGTGTGCTGCAGGAGGATGCCTCCTGCCTCCGTCCCCATGAGCCAGAAGCAACGCGTTACACTTTCTCTTCGGCAAAGGAAAAGACATGGGAAAAAAAAGGGGGATGCTTCCAGCTGACAGCGAGGAGAGGGGGAGAAGCCATGCAAGCAGCCCGTGCGTACCTACTGCCGCCGGTCCCAGGTGAGCGACTCCCCCCATCCATGCCGCGGTGCCGGCGAGCCCTGAGATGTCCTGAAGAAGTGACTGCTGTGACTTGGGAAGATGGAATATGGTACAAGCTTTAATTAAAAGAGTCTGAAGGCTCTCTCCTGCTGCTCGCCCGTTTTTTTGCAGTACCAGATTGGATTTAAAGGGCTAGAACCCCAATTTGGTTTTGCTGCTCCCCCAGGAGCGATGCTCTCCCACCTTGGCCTGGCAGTTCCGGCAGCAGCTTGCAGCCCATCAGGGGCATCCTGGCAGCTGAGCAAGTCCGTGGAAAGCAACAACAGTAGCTACTCAGTGGCAGTAGCAACAAATTGTAGTTCAATGCTCAGGAGAGCATGCACAGTGGGTGGCAAGCAGGGATGCTCCTAGCAGAGAGGCAGGCGAGGGGAGCCTGAGCGCTTCTATAGATGCAAAGTTTGTGGTCTACAAATGCTCTGGTGAGTTAGGAGTCATGTCCCCTCCATCTTGGTGCTGCCACTGCTCTGCGACAGTGCCCAAAGGCATTGCCACTCCATCACCAGCCCAGAATCTGAGTGGAGGGGGGCTGTGGGGAAGGGTTGCGTCACCCCAGCTCAGCTCTGCAAGACAAGGGTCCTCAGCCTTCTCCTGCCTGCAGCCAGCAAGCAGGGAGGCATTTCCATTTGGATTAGATGGCTGCTTGCTCGTGCCAAAGGCAGCATGCAGAGGACCTCGTGCTGGCGGGCATGCTGGCAGCATTGATCCCTCCCTCAGGTTCAGGTTCCTTCAGCCATTTTCCAGATCTCCATCAAAATGCCCATCTGCAACAGTCCAGGCTCTCAGACCATTCCGATCTGCTCAGCATGGATAGTCAAAACACTCTGTCAAGCCTTGCTGGACTACTTCCCCGTTCCTTACCCAACAAAGAGGGGCTGAATATTGAGTGCAAGGTTTTAACTGAGCACTACTTGGTCCAGATTATGAGTTAAATGTTGAAAAACCAGGGGAACAACTAGGACAGAAAGCCTAATCTCCGTTTTCCCTGTTTGGGCCAAAATGCAACCAACTATTGCTGAGGCCAGCTTCAGAGCATCCCGACCATCAACTCTGGTGCTGGCCATGTCCAATCAATCCCTTCCTTGCACACAGGGCTGACCCACATGTTCTGGCTTTCTGTTGTCTTATTAATTACATGAGGTGGTGGATGCCAAAACAAAAAGCTGGTTTTAATTCCATGCTGCAACCCAGTTCCAGGCTGCTGAGATAATTAGCAGGTTTTTAATGAACTAGAAGACTACCAGCATGGAGGGAGGAAGGATGGGGAGGGACGGGAAGCACAATTTGGTCCTGGTTAGGAAAACCACCATCAAGTTGGAGACTCCTTTCTTCGAGACAACGTTGTGAACCATCGTCAGCACCCGGCGAGACACTGCTGGCTAAGGGGCTGCCGCCGGCTCTGCAGAGCAGCGTGACGAGGCGTCTGCTTGGCTGGAGGCCACACCGGGGAGCGAAGCGGCTCCGTCTCGTCGCCATAGCCTGTTGACATCCATCTGGCTCCTGGAAGCAGGGAGGAAGCCGTTTTGGAGCCTGCTTTTTCCCAACTCTTAGGCAAGCACAGCTGTGAGTCCCATTGACCTGTGGCAACTGGGTTTGCTGGAGCACCATCACCACTCTGCAAGGCTTTCTGCTGGTGGCTGGAGGGTTTCACCCCAAAACACATCTATTCAAATCACTTACAGTCCATTGAACACCTCCGTGTCCTCCTTCAGGATCAATCTGGTAACAAGCATGAATGCAATTTCCCAGGCTAACACTGATGTTAGCTATCAGCTGCAAATTGCTAGGTAAGACATCCCTTGGCAGAGCCTGGTTGGAAAATGCTTTTCTAAATAATGAGGTGTACCAGGCGGAGGTGAAATGCCAGCAAAAACAATGTGTCCCCAGAGACTCCAGCCTCCGACCCGAGCTGTTGCTTTCCTGTGTGTATCTATCTCGGAGACATGTGGCTGTTGTTCCTTTAATTATTAATCCTTGCATTGACATATTCAATGTTCATGGGCTCTGAAAGGATGCTCCAATGTAAAGAATGAAGAATAAATTTCCTTCTCTCCCTTAAAACTTGTCTCAATCCCATGACCAATTTTATTGCCGTTCTGCTCTAATTTTCAATATTACGAGAAACATTAAGGCTTTCAATTAAAAGATCTCTTCCTTGAGATACTGGAAAGTAGCCTGAAGTATAGACCACGTGTGATATTTTTCATAGTGATGATGTGTGCTATGTCTGATTTTCAGATCAAACGCCTTGGCGGTCAGGCACAGGCTTGGCCAGGCTCGAGCAGCATCTCCTGGCTGTGAAGTGTTTGGAAGATCCTCAGCCTTGTTTGTATTTTCAGCCACAGACTCATGTTTCTGAAATGAACTTTGCATTAACGTTATTCATTTCAGTCAACTTGTAAGTCCATGGTAAAGGGCAAATAAACCTCTGTGTGATTCCACCCTGGATTCTTGGATCTTTTGGCTTTTGACTGTCAAATATTAATTTCTTCCCTTTCTTTTATAGTGAGCTGAGCCATGGTCATGAAACAGGAGGTCTGCCTTCCACAATGAGCTCAAAACCCTTCATTTGCCATGATTTCAGCATTGGGTTTATTGCATGCCATTAGTTGTGTTTTGGTTCACTGAAGGTGTTCTCATGTCTTCTTTTTTACAGCAACCTAAATCGTGCATTTGGTCCTGTTTTGGAGGACAAGAAGTCTCCTGAAAAGCTTGCAGCTAGGGAGGTTTAATCTGGGGCAGAATTCAGTGTTTGCAGGTATTTGCATTACCAAGTGCTGGCAATGCTGGACCCAGCTGAGCTTGTGAGGTTGCAGCACTGCTCAGTCAGCAGCTCATTTTATTTCCGGTCAGTTGCTCTTTTCTTTGTGGAAGTGGTGTCACTTCAATTTCGTTTCCAACAAGGATGTTTAAGGATAGCTTCTTGTGACACTGGGGTGAACAGCGGGGTTCTGAAGATGAGATGAAAAGATAGAGCTGGGCATTACAGCAACACATAAAAAGCAGCAAGGTGAGAGAAGCTGCTAGGTTGGATCAGACCTTTGTTCCATTTACTCTAACAGAGCACCCAGACTCTGCAGCAAGCAGGGACACCACTTGCCCTTCACGAGTCATCTCTCTTATTTACACCAGCTCAACCATCCTTCCCCAAATCCTTGGGTCTGATTGCAGCTGGGCAGGTTGCAAAGGGCACCGAGGCTGGGAGATCATATGCAGTCCAAGCAGTGGGGTGGCAGAAAGCCCATCAGTCAGATACAGAGCTGTGCAGGACCTTGTCCAAAATCCACATCACGTTGCTGTTAAATTCCTCCTCAAACCTAAATGATGAGGAAGGCCAGGGATGGCTGAACACACAGATGAGCTGACTCTTCTGCTCTCAAGCCAAAGTGTTAGCTTTTGTCATTAGAGTGTGGTTTCGATGCATGGGGATACATCTTTTTTCTCTACATCATGTTTTCTGGAGGGGAAACCATCTTCTCACTTGTGTAGGTTTTGAGGCTAGAAGACCCCATTGCTGCTTCCCTCAGTCAGTGTTTCTCACAGCACACACTAAAGAGTTTCATTGATATAACAAATTGCTACAGAACAGCCATGCTGGCTGGAGACCTTAACACTGATTTAATTAATTCATAATCCAAGGAGACTTCTATATGAAAACCCTTTTTCTGCTGACATGGAAGCAGGTTTCGGTATATCTGCTCTGGGCAGACAACGGACTCTCTAAGTGCAATATTGTGTAAGGCCAAGAATATAGCCATATGCATTTGCAATTAATCACACAAATTAGAGCCCTTTAATAAAGATGAAAAGCAAAGAGAATAAAACATGCTGGAAACCTGGAGGCAGAGTTTTGGTCTCCTGAATTCAAATGCAAAGCTTTGAAAACCTTGTTTGCTTTCACCAAGTGTCACAAGGGATTATATAGAACTTCAAAAGGAATTTGGAAACAAACAAAAAAGCTAGTGAAACACAGATGATTAATCCACTTTTCTATGTCTGCTCCCAAAGTCTCCTTTTGCTGACTTTCTAAATCCTGCTTGGACATTGATGCCAAGACCAGACCATGGAGAAAGTTCTCACCTATCTCACAGAATAAAGGGGTACTTCACTAATTTAATCATGATTTGTTTACCCAGATTTGCAAATGAAACTAGATTCATGCCATGTGGATGTGCATGCGTCCATCTGTCTCAGTGGCTTCTGCATTCCTGGAGGCAAGTTAGCCATAGGGTTGTGCCCAGCCAAGGAAAGGCTTTAGCCTGTCCCTGTCCAAGGAGAGAGACTTTCAAAAGCTGCAAATCATAGAATCATAGAATCGTTAGGGTTGGAAAGGACCTTAAGATAACTTCATCTCGGCTTGCAAGACAGAAATCAGCAGAGCACTAAGCTTTACTAGGACTAGTGCAAGGGGACAGGGTGAAGATCCATAAAATCCCAGTATCTGTGCTCCAGCTAATGGCTGTTCACAACTGAAAACAAAAGAAAGTGATTTTTTGTTTCCACAACTAGTGGGTGATGTTTTGTGCAAGACATCAGACAGCAAGGTATAAGAACCCAGGGAAGGACTGCACATGTGTAAATGATGGGAATCACTGCTGCCACTGGCAAACAGGTTGAAAGGAAAACGTGAAGGAGACCTAAATCATCCTGCTTCAGGACATAAATCACCTTCTAACAGCAGAAGAGAAGAAATCTTATTGATAGGCTGGTTTAAGTTTTCAAAACGTAAAAGAAAAAATTGGAAGCTGTTTGCTGACAGTTTTAATAACTGCTTCTCATTTTATGGCTATTCCTAGCTTGAGTTTAAGGACAAGCCAAGATCCCAGAGCCAGTGCATCCACTCAGTTAACTGTCTGTCCTTCTTCACTGAAATAATTTTGCATATATTGGCCAACTCAAACTCAATTTCACACCACAGCAGAGATCTCAATGATCTGCACTTCCAGCAAGCTTCATGACAAGCTTGCTGGATAAGCAGGAAAGCCCAAAATAATGTCCCTAAGAGGAAGAGGCAAATTCAACTCTATCACATGCAAGACATCTCCTGTCCAACCCATCAGCAAACATAGCTGTGAACCAGCAGCCGTACATGGTGCCACCTGCCCTGCCAAACTAGTGGGGGACAAGGGAATGAGCTGAGATTACTGGGTAAAGAGTTTAAGGCTATAATTACATAGGAAAGCAGGTCTTGATGATTCTGCTGTCCTCAGAGATATTTGGCTGCTTTTCTTTGCCTTCAACTGAGTTAGAGACACAGTTGGAGAATTTCAAGTTCTCTTAAATCAGGAAAACATTCAAATAAAACCCACCAAGGCTTGGTCCATGCAATCTGTTCTGCTCCTGAGCATGACCTCTCTGCACAACACCCTCAGGACTGGATGGATTTGCAGGGCTCATCCATCACGGCAACTCCCACCTGCCAACCTGATTGTGGCTGTAATGTGATCACCATCCCTTTATCACTCAAAGCCAGGCTTTGCCTATAGGAGGGGAAAGCCAAAGAGAATCTCTGCAAAGAGCAAACAATATTTTACCCCTCATGCATGTTTCATACATTTGTGGTCAGGTCATTTTGTTCTCTTTTGCTCTCTTAGGAGGACACAGAGCGCACCCATGTGTACTATGAAGCAAGCCAAGACTCTGATTTCATTACAAGACCTTAACACCTACCTCCCCATTCATATGGTTTTACCATGTGCTGTTTTACCAGCAGTCCATTCAGTGTGGCCATACCCAGTTCTTCAGCAGTTCACACCCAGCACCAGGAACCCTGTCCTGGG